GTCGAGGAGAAACACAGGGATGTGTTGTGTGGTTTCTGTAATGTTTTGCGACATTTGTGGGGCTGGGACTACGCAAGGTGGTTGCTATGGAGCTATTTTTTGACCCTCGTTGATCTCATCGCGGCTTGCTCTTACTACGACATCTTCTCTTTATTTCTCTATCTTTTCACTCAAGATAGAATTACAATCAAAGTCTCATCGGGACCCCAACTCTATGATGTCTCCCTCGGGGCCCAACAACAACTTGGATGACATCCCACCTCTGACTGACAGATAGAAAAACATAAAGACTAAAGCTGTCGCAGCGCGCAGGATAGCCCTATCCGTTTCGAAATGGGCTCAGCCATCAAGCACTATCTACAGATAGGTGAGCTCCAACAAACAGTTCGCGAATGTCACTCATCTGGGCCTGTCAATCACACACCCCAAAGGCACTATCAACCCATCAACAATATCTTCTGCTACCTCTTCTCGAGAACAAAGGTCGATTACATATCCACCGCTCCTGATTTGTATCCTACCAGTCTCCAATCTTTCAGTTGGCACTTCACACCCGTTCATGATGACCCTAAAAGTGAAGGTCCTAGTCCAGAAATGAGCCTACTCTCGAAGACATCAATCGTTGATCTTTGAAATACTACATCACAATTATCATCGATATCTCGTAAACAATATGTAAGACGCCTCCGACCATCAACGGCAATCTATTTTCAAATCCCGGTGTTCAAGTCACGCTTCACCAATCACGAAGGATGGGAATACAAGAAATCTATCATGAGAAATAGGAAGCTAGCTACTTGGTTAATGAAAGACAACTGGCAGATTCCGATTCCACAACCCAACTTAGCCACGCGCATATTCAAGACTTCTTATATTACCAAGGACGAGCTGGGAAACAGAAACGTTGGGGAAGGTCTTGGAAGACTGGCTAGACATAAAATACCTCATTGGCCACTAAACCCAATTCAATATCGAATCCGCAAATTACAAGCCTCCAAGGCAACCAACTCTACAAACTTCTCCAATCAGATCGGGAAACGTGGGACCACCGATTTCGCCAACACCACGGGAGAGAGGAGGGATTCGTACTGTACATACAGTTGGATTTCAAAAGGATCATTTCAAAAGCTCGTGTATAGTACAGGTCCATCTCTGAAAGCAAAATACGGAGAGACTAAAAGCGTAACCTTTAAGGGTATCTAGAAAAGATAATAAGCGGTTACCTCGCTTAACCACAAAAGAACTGTCGAATGAGGGCCCTCATAGATTTGTGATGCCCGTTTAGAATGATGCTGAGTTTTTCCTCGTGAGGATCAATAACCATGAAGCTATCATTCTTGTTCTTCAAAGATGGTGCATTTCACTAATAAATTAGCAGCGAATGCATGATTCGAATCTCTGACATGCATGTGGCTCTGGATTTTTCAAGAGGTTTCCATCGTCCTAGCTGCTCCCTAGCTTTGGGTTGTCTATGTCACGGTATATTTAGGCTGAAGAGAACTTGCGATTCAAGGAACGAGGTAGGATCCTGAAGCCAAGTGTGGACACCAAGAGTACACTGTAAAATGTCAATATCAGCAAACAGACAGAAGAGTCGAATAATGATGGCATCGAAAGATTTCTACACATTTAAATGTCCATGACATTTGAGAGACATAGCCTACTGTATCCCAGGCTCCTCGAATAAGCAGTTGTGTAATGCATCTCACCCCTGAAAACAAGTACTTTCTTTCATCAATCAATCCATGAATATGAAATATTGATCTCTAGGAAACTGATAATAAGGTGAACCACAATTAGAAATGCGCTGAAGCTAATTCCTAATATAATTTAATCAGTCCCAGATATCAGGCATACTTCATCGACACATTCCCTCTCATCACCACCCCACTCAACCTTAAATGAAGCGCTCACTTACTCACCTCATTTCTTCCCCCTCAACGCCCTCACGCAAAAGGCATCACTTTCCTCCATCACATCATCAAGTGAAGCTCCCAAACTAAGCCCCATCCAATCACAACACAATCGCAACCCAAGTCCACAAGTAAATCCTCACACCACGTTGGTCACACATTTCAAATTTTGCGATCATTCCCTGATTAGACATCTCTATAACAGAAGCTAGAATAGACTTTCTGTGATCTCGCCGTCCAATCAGATTGCAAATTCCCCAGTGAAGCCTTGCAAATGAGATTGATCCAATCAGCTTACAAGCGCAAAGATTTCGATGTGCAATATAATCATTTGCATGCTTCACTATGAGTTCGTAGGTGGGTGTTTTGCGATCGGATGCTTATTGGATGATGGGATGTTTTGGTTTGGTATGGTGAGTTGGGTGAGGCGAAGGATAGATGAGGTGAAGTGGGGTGGAGGTGTGTATAGTTTTGGTAGATCACCTTAAAATTAGATATTTCTATGGGAACTTCTCGACAAGTTGACAACTTTGCATATGACAGAACCATTTAAACTCACTCTTCCGAGAGATGATCAATATCTTGAATTTAAAAATGACGATAAGAGCGCACTTCGAACCCCCATTATATATCATGGATTGAACGAGAAGTAGGTCGGACACCCACCGATATTCTCAGATTTCGGAAGGTACAGAAGTTCTATTCAGAGGTAATAATGAATCCCACATCCAGAAAAGATACTGTAACATTGCAACGTGGAAAGGGAGTGCGCATCAACACCTATCCGTCACTTAATAACTTTACCATAGAGGGTTCAACCGGCGTCACCATGACTTAGAGGAAGAGGGCGAATGAGTAATCACACAAAGCTACTCTGCGTGGATGAGCAAGATATGAGAAAAACACCCTCTCAACCCGCGAGGAACACAAACATGTTTGCAAGCATTTAAACAATGTGGAAAACGTATCACAATTGCGTTCTATGATAATAAATAACAAGAACGTATTAACTAATTCCCGGAAAAGCTTATTGATTACGGTTGCTAAATGCGGAATACTAGGGACAACAGAATTTAAGCAAACTCATATAACAACAACTCCATAGCCCCAAAGAACATCCATCTCTTCGAAGAAAATCATAACACTGACATGAATAGTCATGCAATGCACCCCTCTCACAAAAACCAACCATGCCAAAAGACCCCGAAATGGAAAGACCATTGAACAGTAACACTACATGCACTCCCCCGAAACCGACCACACCACCAAATAACAAAAGCCCTTCCTATCATTCCCCTCGAACACCCTCGATCGAGAATCATCTCATATTCCAAATCCCAAAATGAGATTTACAAGACTCAAAAACCCCTGAGAATATCGTGAGCGGGGGAACGAAAGAACAAGCGATATAGAACGTTACATCCATCTCATTCATCTGTAGTGTACAGGTGAATGACACCCAGAAAAGAGACGAAATGGCCCAGAACGAAGCTAAGAAACATGACCGATACTCTCAACCAGAACCGCTATCGGCGATATAGAAAGAACACACAATCTCTCTCAGAAGACCAATGACCAACAACCTCACCAAGTGAATAGAAGAACCAAGATTGCTCATCTCAAACTCCCAGGAAGAGGAATTCACAGAGAGCGATCGGCAGAAAAGACTACCTGCAAGCAATGGGCACAACATCTATCTCATCACGGAAGAAATAAAATGTAACTCTCCGCAGAGCCTCCCAACCCATCCCCAATCACACACAGGGCGCCATGATATTCAGGGGTAAGGTATTCTACCCGCGCGAAACATCACCAATCCCAAGGGTCTTGATACGCACCTGTATCGGTCCAAACATGCATGTCATGACAAGCAAGTCCAACAGTAACTTATCATCCACCCAAGATCTCGTGACCAACACCCCTTTATCCAATCTCCAAGAAAGTCGAAAACAAAAAAGGCCCAGTAACGTTACGCGACCCAAAGCCGGCTCCAAGATCTTTATACACCCCTCATCCATTCAGACCACACAGAAGAAAATACCACTTGACCCCAGCATCCCGTGAGCACTGGGCAAGCGAGTAGATGACATGCCCAAAACAGGAAGGTGGCGGTGGGGACGACCAAAGGAGATAATGGGATGTACAAGGCGAATTTTGCCAGCCAATGAAGACCTCAACGCGCGCTCATGAATGCCATTGTTGCTGCACGTGTAAGATGTGCTTTGCAGATTTCAGATAGAGTGCATAGATCATAGATTAACAACCCGGTATGAATGCCGAGACTGGTATTCAATGTTCCACAAGCCCATACCAGCACAAACATAGGCAGGCTGCTTCTAGAAAAGAATGCTCCATGAAAAGATTGATTGCGCGCGCAAATACCAGGACGTAATAAAGTCGAAAGGTCAACAAAAAGTGAACGACAAGCAAAAGAAAGCGTCTTGGAAGAGTTGCGCCGTTGGGAGGTCGTTGGTAGGGGACCATCGAGGTACTCCGATTCCACGATGTCGGCTTGCCATTCGCGATATCGTGGATTAGATCAGGTCTGTCCATCCCCTACATTATCACTCTTCTGATATTAATAGAATTTCCCCCAAGGGTCATTTCTCCTAGACAACCAATAGTAAGGACGCCTCCAACCGGGTGACACATTGATCCGGACCGCGATTAAAGACATCTAGAACGCGAACACAAACAACACCCAAGAAGGAAGAATTCCACACGCACCGGCATTTGTTCCCACCAGCCCCTTGGCGCGTATGTCGGATTGTTGGGTACAATTCTCGACGTGGTTGGAAGGTCCACACCCGCTATGCAAGATGAGATATTGTAACGTTTATTTTCCGATGCACTGGGCCGCGAGCCAGTTTTGCTATCACCGAGAAAATGAACCCATGCCATGTTCAGCAAACAGAAACACTGTCGCATGCCATACACAGGTGGCTAAGAGTGGGTTTTGCTCTGATGCGAATGAGAAATGCCCATGTCCGAATCCTCTATATATTGGGAAGTATGCCGTAACAATATCATGAAATCAAACCATCTGACGGCCCGAAATTCTTCTACTCCCTTACCCTTCTTGTGAAAATGTTGTTTCCTTCTCTCCCTTCGTTGGCAGCAGCAGCCCTGCTTACCCATTTTGCTTTCGCTGCTCCAGTAGGCGATGATGCAGATGGAAATACTCGACATGCTCCACAGGCTGTAAAATCCAATGTAAAGGCAGCAGCTGGCGGGTACAAGAATGCAGCGTATTATGTCAACTGGGCCATCTATGCGCGGAACTACCAACCTCAACAACTCCCTGCATCGCAGTTGACCCACGTGCTATATGCATTTGCCAATATCCAGACTGATGGCACAGTGTAAGGAACTTCCTTCCACCTATATACTTCATGATACTCACGATCACAAAGATACCTGTCTGATACTTGGTCTGACACCGACAAACATTATGCCACAGATTCATGGAATGATGTTGGCAACAATGTTTACGGTTGTGCCAAGCAATTGTTCTTAATCAAGAAAAAGAATCGACAGATGAAGACCCTCCTCAGCATTGGGGGATGGACTTACTCCACCAATTTTGCAGCTGCAGCTTCCACAGCAGCTACTCGATCGCAGTTTGCTTCAACCGCCGTAGCATATGTGAAAAATCTTGGTTTTGACGGAATTGATATTGACTGGGAATACCCCAAGACCGACGCTGAAGCATCAAACTTTGTGCTTCTTCTTGCAGCGGTTCGCTCTGCTCTCGGTGCATACGCTGCTCAAAGTGCCCCCGGGTACCATTTTCTGATCACCATTGCCAGTCCCGCTGGACCGACAAACTACAATATCTTGCATATGAGAGACATGGACCCGTACCTCGACGCATGGCATCTGATGGCCTACGACTACTCTGGAAGCTGGGACACCATTGCTGGCCATGATGCCAACCTCTATCCAAGTGTTCCCAACCCCGGAAGTACTCCATTTTCCACCCAAAAGGCCATCACCGACTACATCGCAGCCGGAGTCACTCCCAGCAAGCTCGTCATGGGATTGCCTTTGTATGGTCGTTCATTCCAGAACACCAATGGGATGGGGAGCTCTTTCAACGGCGTTGGCACCGGCAGTTGGGAAAATGGTGTTTGGGATTATAAGGCTCTTCCCAAAGCAGGAGCGACCGAATTTACTGATGCCGCAACGGGAGCCTCATATTCGTATGATTCCAGCACCCGCGAACTTATCAGCTACGACAATGTCGCGACCATCCAGCAGAAAGCCAATTTCATCAAGTCGAACGGTCTGGGAGGAGCCATGTTCTGGGAGACAAGCGGTGATCGAACGGGTGTTAGTAGCTTGATCTCCACTATTGCTGAAAGCTTTGCTGGACTAGAACAGACGCAGAATTGGTTGAGTTACCCCGCCAGTTCGTATGACAACATGAGGGCAGGATTTCCCGGGGAGTAGACTTGAGGGTTGATGATGTGGACATCGTGTTGTTCTTCGCTTCTTGTATATATTCTTCCGAAGTGACTTGCGAGCTTCTTTTCTGGGTACAGGCAGGGTGACAGGAGTTGAGGTGTGCTTTTCTGGGAGGGGAATCGGGCGGTATTTCGAAGCCAGGTCTGACGTGGAACATTCGATTCTTGTTTCTATTGTTGCTTTGGGCCTGGTAAGATGGAGATTGCCTGCGTATCAGTCAGCCCAAATATATATATCAATCTTGTATAGCGAATCAAATGTGTTGAGTCGGTCAGAATCGGGATGTGATGCTTGCTGAGATGTTTCTATCAACCTTAATCGAGTATGGCGACGGGGGCGCCGGAGGCAGAAAAAAGATACCTCGGCACGGAGCTTTGGTCGCTTCTTTCCGGAAACCACCCCGAGACTCCCCTGAGTCGGAGATTTCTTGCTCCGAGCCTCGGTAACCTTGGCGAGAAAGGCCTAACCAGGTTTTTGATAATGATGGAGCGGTCCATTTGGTATATCACTTCTCTGGATTCTTCAATTTTGTAATAATGCACTGGATCATTTTTGCCCAAATATCCTGCCAACCGTAGGTACTTGCAGTCTATTCGTTGATGTTAATGTTAAGCGAACTTGACCCTTCTATGATTGCCACCGTCATCCTCCCAAAGTGCTCTTGTGGTACTCACAAACTCCCACGGTGCTCCCACCGCGAAAGTGGATATAGATTATTTCCCTGTTCCCAACCAAGATCTAGTCTCCCTTCACAATACTTGAAAGACATACCGTGTTCGGTCGGAAACATATTACATACAGTTTGACTAGGTACAGGCATGTCGGTCCCCAGGGTGGAGATGACGAGGATGCTTCCCGTCCTTGAGGATCAATCAAGCAAAAAGCTTCAGTTGGTAATCCGGTCACCTCGGCATCACTTCCACAAATTATATTTGAACGGACACGGGCTGTAAATTTTGCAAATACCGCACCCAGCATGCGCGATGATGGTCAAATCCTAAGCCAATATTCATTGAGGCAATAAGCGCGATTCTCAGTGGCTCACTGGCTTCAACGGCCAGTCTTAGGTTTCATCAAACTGCTGCCCAGTGCAAAAGCCGGACTTTGGATGATATCAGGATCGATAATGAGACCACCGAGTGCGAGAATCTCTTTAATTCCGTTTACCGATTGACTACAAACGGACATATCCACAAGCTTTGCATTTTGACCACCGGCCAACGTTTTTTCAACCCCCGTGGTCCACTCTTTGTACAACGACACACGGATGCCCAGACGACATATATAACCTCGCCTCGCCTAGGTCGAGCCTTCCCATATATTGGTTCTATCTCCATCCTGCCCTCGTACTTCATTTCCCCATCATACTAGTATAAACTTCGAGAGGAATAATTTCGATTCTGGATTCAAGAAAATCCCACGACACCGCTCTCTCTCTTGTACCTCATCATGACCGAAGTTATTCCAGGACCACCGGGTCTTCCCTTTATAGGGAACATCAATGACATTGACCTAACAAATGCCTCCGCTGATCTCAGGCGTCTAGCTGACACATATGGTAGGCTTGAAAAGCATGAAGCACATACACCGTCCCAAGCTCACCATCTCTAGGCGAAATATTTACTCTCAATCTCGCCGGAGACCAAAAGATCTACGTCTCAACGGTGGACCTCATGACCGAAATCTGCAATGAGAAGGTCTTCGAAAAAATAATCAAGGGTGGCTTATTACAAGTTAGAAACGGCGTTGACGATGGCCTTTTTACAGCCCACACTGGCGAGCATAACTGGGAAGTTGCTCACCGAGTATTGATGCCGGCTTTCGGACCACTTTCAATTCATTCCATGTAAGTGGATAACGGAAGTTTTGACAAAAACCGAAACCAAATTCTGATGAAGAACCTAAGGTTCGATGAAATGTACGATTTAGCTTCACAGATGGTGATGAAGTGGGCTCGATTTGGCGGTGATCAGAAAATCCATGTCGTGGATGACTTCACAAGACTCACTCTAGATTCGATCGCTCTGTAAGTGTTGTCAAGCACCTGTATAGGTATTTGCTTATCAGCAATAGGTGCGCCATGGGAAATCGATTCAACAGCTTCTATCAGTAAGTTTCATTTGCGTCTAGCTTTCTCCAACCACTTCACCCTCCTTTTTCCACGATGCATTGTTCCTCTTACATCCCATTTGAATTTTCTCCTGCTACATAGGAACTTGTGTCCTCTATTCAGTCAAAGTAAGACTGACTTTATGTAGCGACGAGATGCACCCATTTGTAGATGCCATGGTAGACTTTCTAGCAGAATCAGGGGCAAGATCTGGACGTCCAGCGATTGCAAGCTACTTTCTACGTTCAGCGGAGGCTAAATACAACGCCGATATTAAGGTTCTCCAAGACACCGCAACGAACCTCATAGCTGCTAGACGGCAGCACCCTAATGACAAGAAAGATTTGCTGAATGCCATGCTTAACGGTCGGGATCCCAAGACTGGAGAGGGACTAACCGATGCAAGCATCTGTAATAACATGATAACTTTCTTGATCGCAGGTAAGTGGCTAAGACTATTTAATATTCCATTTGAGTATCGTTACTGGAACAATGTTGACAAATGCAGGTCACGAGACAACCTCCGGACTTTTGTCATTTCTCTTCTACAATTTCTTAAAAAATCCGGCAGTCTATCACAAAGCACAAAAGGAGGTTGATGATGTTGTTGGGACCAATCCCATCACAGTTGACCACATCTCGAAACTCACTTTCATTGATGCGTGTTTGAAGGAAACTTTGAGAACTACTCCAACGGCGCCTGCTTTCTCAGTGGCTCCCCGTGCGGATGGGCCAGATACAGTGTTCATTGGAGGTGGCAAATATGCAGTGAAGAAAGGGCAATCTGTTTTGGCCCTCCTGTCATCTATTCAGACTGACCCAAAATACTATGGCGAGGATTCCAGGGAGTTCAAACCGGAGAGAATGATGCCGGAACCATTTAGCAAGCTTCCACCCGCTGCCTTCAAGGCTTTCGGAAACGGTGCTCGTGGCTGTATTGGAAGACCGTTTGCTTGGCAAGAGGCAATATTGGCTGTAGCCATGCTTCTACAAAGCTTCGATTTCCGTATGGACGACCCAAGCTATCAGCTTCAAGTCAAGGTGGGTCTTTTTGCTTATCCGTCCGTATATATGCTAATCTCATTAGTACACTTTGACCATCAAACCCAAGGATTTCTTTATGCACGCCACACTTCGAAAACATATCGATCCAGTTCAACTGGAGAAAATGTTATACTCGGGAGCTGCAAGTAAGCAACCAGCTGAAAAGACGACAAAGGTTGCTGCAGGTTCTTCCGAGAAGGCCAAAAAGCCTATGACTATACTTTATGGTTCAAATGCTGGAACATGCGAAGCTCTTGCACAAAACCTTGCTCGTGTCGCGTCTGGGCGGGGTTATGATGCTCAAGTCAACCCATTAGATTCCGCTGTGTATAAAATTCCTAAGGAGCAACCTGTGGTCATGATCTCAGCAAGTTACGAAGGCGAGCCACCTGACAATGCTACTCACTTCGTTGAATGGCTCCAGGAAATGGAGGGTAACCAACTTGATGGCGTCAAGTTCGCAGTCTTTGGGTGCGGAAACCACGATTGGGTTTCTACCTTCCACAAAATACCGAAAGTTCTCTTTGCAGGCTTTGAATCTCACGGAGCGACCAAAATTGCTGACATTGGTTTGGGCGATGTGGCTGAGGGCGACATCTTTGGAGCTTTCGACCAATGGCAAGATGATCACTTCTGGCCCGGTCTTGGAGTTGATGGAGATGCTGAGGACGATGTGGGGATCGATGTTGAAATTGATAAAGATGCTCGACCCGCCACCCTCCGCCAAGATGTCAGAGAAGCAGTGGTGTTAGACATCAGATCGTTGACTCCAAATAGCGAGACCGAGAAGAAACATATTGTCTTGAAACTGCCTTTCGGTTCCGAGTACAACGTTGGGGATTATTTGAATGTTTTACCACTTAACAATGACAAGATAGTTCGGGTATGTTATACAAACCCCCTCCCCCCTTTCTTCTCTTTCTCTCAGCTAACAAATCTCCCAGCGTGTTCTCAACTGGTCGAATCTGCCATTTGATACTATGCTCACTATTAAAGCTGGTTCCAACACCACTATGCCCACCGGTCGCCCAATCTCTGCCTTTGATCTTCTAGCTGCCTATGTTGAGCTCAGTCAGCCAGCCACCCGCAAGGCAAGTTCATACACCCTATATCAGAAAACTCAACTAACTCAAAACAGAACGTTGCCAAGATTGCAGCCAGCTGTATTGACGAGTCGGAGAAGGCAGAACTACTGAAGCTTTCGGATGAAGAATACGAGACAGAGGTTCTTGATAAACGTCGCTCACCTCTGGATTTGTTGGAAGAATACCCTTCTGCCAAGCTACCACTTGGCGAGTTCCTGGGATTACTTCCCCCATTGAGAATTCGACAATATTCGATTTCTTCTTCGCCATTACTTGATCCCACCCAAGCCTCCATTACATTCTCTGTGCTTGACAAGCCCTCAAAGTCAGCCAACAACAAACGTGAGAATCACTCCTCCATATCTCCGAAATTCATACTAACTCCAGGTTCCAGGCTTCCTAGGCGTAGCATCCAACTACCTCTCCCAACTTGAAAAAGGCGACCGCATCCATGTAGCCATCAAACCCTCCCACGGCTTCCACCCCCCAACCGACATCGAAAAAACACCTCTAATCATGTTCTGCGCCGGCACAGGCCTCGCTCCCTTCCGAGGCTTCGTCCAAGAACGCGCCCTCCAAATCAAAGCCGGTCGTAAACTCGCCCCCGCATACCTCTTCATTGGCTGCCAACATCCTGAGCAAGACCAGCTCTTCAAAGAAGAGTTCGCGCAGTGGGAGAAGGAGGGTGTAGTGACGTGTTTCTACGCTCACAGTCAGGCGAAAGAGCAGAGTCGCGGCTGTGGGTATGTCCAGGAACGAATCTGGGAGGAGAGAGAAGATATGAAGAAGGTCTTTGAGAGTGGTGCGAAGTTGTATGTTTGTGGAAGTGCGGGTGTCGGGACGGGGGTTGAGGAGGTGTTGAAGAGGATTTATAAGGAGGCTGCGTTGGCGAAGGGGAAGGACAAGACGGAGGAGGAGATTGAGGAGTGGTGGGTAGGAGTTAGGAGTGATAGGTATGCTAGTGATGTGTTTGCTTGATGAGTTAGCTGTGGTAAGAGTGGTGAAGTAGAGTGGTTGCGTAGAACTTTTACCACAAGTTTAGCACATGACAACTTCGCTTAATGTTTCGTCACTCTGTGATTTTGGTTCTTCGTTGCGTTCTTCGGGGGAAGGATACTTCATGCTCTTGACTTCAAGTGTAAAATACCCACTTTAGACACGTCAAATGACACCCAAACAAATCTGTAAGTTTGCGCTTTACACCATATAAGTCTTGCCCTAATTTGTAAGATGATCAGTTTACATCCGTGAATGTCGGGTACTTATGAAGTGCACATTACCTTTTCGGCAGCAGGACTAGGTACCATTTATTATACAGTGGTATTTTATTCACTAATTTTGCTCTTGCAACTTAACTTATACATTATTTCACTTATTAGATATCTCAAGCCCATCTACGGCATGGTCCGGCCAATGGTCTAGCTATATATACAAAGCCCCCTCACGTGGTGTTTCCACCTCTCTACTCGTAAACGTACAATGACCAGGAGAGCCATCATCATCATGCTTCACTGCTCCCCATCCGACCTTCCTCAATTCAGCTCCCTCATCTCCTACCGTATTATGACAAGCAGCAGCTATAGCCAAACTATTATTAGCAACCAGCACACAAGGCTTCAACTTCCGAAACCCAGTCAATACCATGACAACCACCATCATAGTCCCAAAAGAACCAGCGACCAACCAAGCAAGAGGCGGATACGCAAGTTGTATAAAAGAAGGCTTTTCTAGTTCCCCATTCGTATCGAGAATCTCCGTCCGCGCAATAAATAGGGATTGTGAAATTAAATAGTGCAAAGTTGCGCTCGCAGCGGAAAGAGGAAGCGCGAATGTCCAGGGTAAACTCAGCCAGTAAGTCGATCTTTGTTGTCCTTTAGGCATGGTTGTACGAAGTGCTTTTTGATGGGTCGAAAATCGACTCCACTCATCGGATGAGACCATACACGTGTAGACGGTGTTGTACGCAAAGTAAAGACAAGATACAATGACTTGCGGTAAATTTGCGATCGACACGAGATTCATCAAGATGGTACTCGACGAGAAGGAATTTTTGTCGGGTCTGGCATTATCATAGGCCCCCCCCTCCCAAACCAGGAAGTGTCGCATCTGCGTTGTACGTTCCAAATCCCATTGCCCATGGAGAGGTGGTGTCAGGGAAGGCTTTGTCAACTGTTAGAGTGAAACAATACTGAAGGAGAACGAAAGTGGTGATGATTGCGGCAATACAACTGAGGACATCAATTTCTGGTACTGTGTAAAGTTCGCGTAATTTCACTTACAGAATCAAAGTAATGCACAGGCGACGCCAGCTGGGAGCTTCCCACCATCGAAGTGCAAATTTCCGGGGTTTCCATTTTCTGGGCTCTCCCTTCAATGCTGCCCCTTTGCTTAGACTTGCTCCTGTGTGGCTCTTCTCCCCTATAAATTTGAATTTTCTCGCTTCCGTTCTCGATAGAAACGGGGTATCTGCCGTGAATGGATCTGGTCTTTCAAGGAAAGATGCAATTCCATCCCCGAAGGTAGCAAGTACTGGCTCACGCTGCGTTTTGAGCACGATAACCATACACACAAGCTTGATTACATTGGCGGCTATCACGCAAGCCATCACGACAAAACTATACTGTAATTGGCATTCCCCTCCTAGATTAGTCCTGTCAGCCAGACAGTAGTCGATTGGCCATTCCGTCGTTCTTGCGATTCCGTAGTCCCAGTTTGGAACACCGCTGATCTCACTGAGAGTCCATGCAGCTGGGTTAGCCATGAGCTTTGAGTAGTCGCACTGGTAGTTGTTGTTAAGGAGGTGCTCAGGACCGCAAACCCAGTTGTCTCCAGTTTAGTTAGATACATAGCCCTCATATCGAAAATGTAGCAACATGTTTGGGTTCGATCCGTTCGCCGCCTGCACTTCGACTTCAGGTTTCGCAACCACAAACACACTTCCCCATCCTGAAAATCCGGCCCGAGGAACACCGTAGTTGCTGATACACTCTTCGTTGCTCAAGCGAATCAATTTGTTTTGCTTGGCCGCTGAGAGCATGAAATTTGCTTCTTCACAAACTTTCGCTTGGTACCAATTTGGTTCATTGGTGTACAACGCAAGATTTTCCATTCAATATTCGCGGTCTAGAGAGACCCCATTTCGCCAAATGGGAGTTGCTAAATTTCTGCTTTCTGTGTTTACTGGGTAGTTATAGTATCCTTGTGCTCCACGACGACGATTCAACCCGGTGGATTTCAATATAATTGTGTTACAGTTTACTTCTGGATATGAAAGCATCTCAGGCTTGACGATGAGGACGTCATAGTCCAGCAATTGGATTTTCGTGAAAACCGCTGAGTTCCAGCTATTTTCACTTTAGATCAGTGCCCAAGAAGTGAGATGAAATGGAGTGATATGCAATACTTACAAAAAGTGAAGTGGTAGAGTTGATAAGACAAGCAACCCATACAAGATTCTTTTCAGCCACCCACTTAGGTTTCGCAAACTTGGCAAACCGATATCTCGGTATGCTCCTCTTGCGTGAGCAGCATCAATCTCGCTTCTGGTAGGCGAGCTGATACACTGCATAGTGAAATTACTCGCCCCTAATAAGACCTTTGAAAGTAAATCAGCGCCGGGTGCTTGAATCTATCCCCTACTAATGGCGAGATCAGGGGCATTTTTGGACAGCAAGAAGCAGACGAGGAGCAGAAGTTCAGAAGCCAACTCAAGCAACGAGAAGCTGTGTGAAATAAAGTAAAAGAACAAAACAACTCCACTTACAGTTCCAGCGATGTTGATAGCAATATGTAACCCAGTATTAATAGCTCCAACCCTACCACAATCCCCACTCGTGAGAGTGCCCACCTTGGTCCCGCTCTTAGACACGATCGATTCGTAAATCGTAAACACAGTATTGATCATAAGGACCAGAGCAGCACTACAAGACGCTGCCAAAACACCACCGCACCATCCACTGTATTTGCTCGACTTGATCAATCCAGTTCCAGGTGCTTGCTCGTATGAGATGTGAGATGCATAACTACCTGAACGCAGTATATAGCGTGCCGAACGCTCAAAAGCATTCGTCAGCGCGGGTTTTAGCTTTTTGACACTTTCGATCGATGAGGTTCGATTTAATCCGGATTCGACGTCTCTGACATGATGTTGCCTTGTTAGTATTTTTTAAATACGTGAAAAATATCAACTGCTCACATACTTACTTGTAAGCAGGCGCCCCGTCTTCATGACTCTCAACATCATGATCTCAATCCGAAGAATACTCCGGCGGAGAGACTGGAATATCTGAAGAAGCTCGACTAATTGTATCCCGCATTTCAAACCCCCCTTGGCGAATGGAAAATCGACTTTGCACAATTTCTGCTGGTCGTAACAAAAAAGCCTTGTCTGAATGGTGTGTCATATCTTGAGAAAACAGAACAAAAAATAACAGTCACCAACTACGATCCAAGGTTAACCTGCGTGTTGTGCAGACGTGTTGGCAGTCATTTTTCCTTTCTGATCCACCCCACCCGAGCAAAGTTGATGAACAAGGCAACCACAACACAGCTTTGTTGTGGCTGAAGAAAATCAAAATGTTGATCTTTCACGTACAATAAGCCCACTTGCGTGTAAGCTGGACTGATGATGATTGGTTGGCGTTGTATCTTTATACGAATTGTGGGGGCTGCATAATGCTGTGCCGCGACTGCTTTATGACGATCTTTGGCTGGTTAAAATACGGTACGAAGGTACGAACGTCAATTAAGATTTCACCATGCCAGATGTGTGCCAAATGTTCAAAGTTGTTCCATAAGCTGAAGCGCGTTTCCGAGTTGGTAAGGCCCTTGAGAGGTTGTGCACGTTCTAAACGACTATCGCAACTTATAACACCCATCTAGGTAACTCTAAGTACCTCTATTTCATCCAGGTACTTTAATTATCTCCCAGCCCTTTCCTCAGCTCTTTTACACTTTTAAGGCCCTTGAGTATAAGGTTTTAATTTACATATAATAGCCAATAATCGTGCTATGTGGAACGACAAATGTGGTGTTGTTAATAGAGGAGTATGTAACGAATACTCAAACTGGCTAACTAAACTTGGCTGGGTGTTCGCTGGTTGGTATGCTATGATAAGAAGAAGACTATCGGGTTGTTCACTTGGAAGTGAACTCGTTACTTGTATCAAAGATGTCAAAC